ATGCTTGGCGAGGTTTTGGTTTATAAAATTTTGTTGTTGTTCTCAACTTGCTCTTTATTTGATTACCTTATCTCCACAGTTTCTATTTGCAAATAGTCAATAATATTGTACGTCCATTTTATTGTTGTTCTTTCTAAGCGCCTTTTCACATATTTTCATCTCATCATTTAATTTCTGTTGTGCATATATTTTTGTATAGAAGATATTTTAAAGTGATTCATCAGGTGGAAAACGAATATAGATAGATAAACCGATATATGGCGCCATCTAGTGTACCTAAATTCATCTAGAAATTTTCAAAAAAGTTACCAAAAAAATGGAGCTAACTCGGTAATCCGTTGCCAGATTTTAACCAAACTTGTTTTATTCTGTTTCTATTCTCATTTCATGACAAATATGGCACTATTGTGTACCATTTTTACTGTATTTAATTACAGACAAGCACATAAACAAACAATCTCAGAGTTATAATAGTATATAGATAGATGACAAAAGAATTACTGATAATTTACAAAATAGAAGTTGCAACAGGAGGGTGGGTCAAGTAAGTCTTATTTTCTAGTTTATAGCTCTGTAAGCAAATAAGATTGATGGCTATAAAAATCAGAATTTTCCTCTGTAATATCTATATTATAATGAGTAATAATTTATGCTAAATTCTGTACTTCTCAGAGAGACAGTAAATAAATTAGAGAAGAAGGAAAATCTAGAGAATGTGTCACAATTGTCGTCTTGGGGAGGAATGAAGATTTTAAAATATTTCCTCATAAAATAAACCTTGTAATATTAAAATTTGATTTAATAACTATGTTTTGATGCCATGTTTATTTGTTTATATTGAAAATAGAGTAGTTTAATTAAATTTTGAATGTAACTCTATAAAAGGTTGTGACATGCACCTACTCATTGACCTACTCATAACAAGAGGATTAAGCCTAAAGAGAGAGCCTTATAGCAAATGTAACTTATAGAAAAACAACTTAACACACTAATATGATAAAACCACAACTCTTCCTCAAGTATCTTCATTCTGTATTAAAAAAAGTTCAGAAGATGTACAACTTTTGATAAATGTTCACATATCTTGACCTTTAGTGTTCTAAAAATAAAATCTGAAATCCACAAATTCCTTTTTTTATCCCTATCACTATGGGTATCCTTTACTGCATATGACACAAGGTTTTAGTGTCTTATATTCAAAATTTTATTAAACTACTTTTTGTTTATTTTATACCAATTAGTATACAATAAGATCTTATCTAATAATCCATATTTTAATTTGTTTTTGAATTTCGCGCAAAGCTACATGAGGGCTATCTGCGCTAGCCGTCCCTAATTTAGCAGTGTA